AGCAGGATTTTGCTCCTTCAAGCTGGCCAAGATCCGCGGCATCGGAGCCTCTACAATGGCATTGCACGTAAATCTATCAAAACGTGTGCTGGTAGGTTGTGTTTATAATATAAACTAAGGCTACATACAAGTTGTGGCAATGTTCTACTCTATGTTCTATGACTTTATTTTAGCCCTTGCAATAAGGTGATTGATACAAACAAGTACGCGAATTCGAACTCAAACATCCAAGGGAGTCACGTCGTGATCCCTGCCGATAAAACCGCTTTCTTTGCGTAGCTCATCCTTGCCGTTTTGGTAAGTCTGATTCAAATATTTGTAGAAAAGACTTCCCTAAAACAAACTATTTCAGCTACTTTTTATCTACCTTCTCTTGAAAAAAAGGATAATAGTATGTGGCACGTTAACCCGCCTAACCCGCCCGCCAACGTCTAGATCTCAAAATTGATCTCTTGATCTTCAATTGTTGAATAAGTTGTTATTGATTTGAATAAAGATAAAAGAGAAAACTATCGTGCCGAGGTCCGGCCCAAGGGGGGGGGGGTCGTATCCGACAGTCGGTCACCCCCGCTTTACCCTGACGATATCAAAGGCCACCTTTACCACGCAGTTAGGGAAGGAGTTGCCGCCCATTCCCGAGGAAGGACACGCCATGTATTCAACAGTTGTCTTAATCATGTTACCGGTACACACTGTGGAATGAGGTAGATAAAAACAGATTTTTGATAATATCTAGAAGCTCATTTTCAAAGCGAAGTCACTGGGCCGATAACAAGCTGTCAGCATGGCCCACTAGCTGCGAACCGGAAGAAGCCCGTACTTTTATCAAGCAGTGCGGCGCAAAATATTTTGATATTTTGAAAATCGTACTACGACCTTCCTTTCAGAAAGACCTCACATTGACAAGTCCATCGGTGGCACTTGTCATTGTGAGGTCAAAAACTCCCTTGACAGGCTGTACTGCCTCAAGGAGATTCCTTTGTGAGTGAGGTCGATATGGAGTAAAGTTTGTCCCAATCGGATCAGGCTAAGAGTGGCGCTCGCACCACTATAATTCTGCGTCACATATGATTTGCTGTAGGAGATTGTATGAAGAACTTTCTTATTCCTCCCCATTCCCTTCAATTTTTTCGGAATACCTAGCGTTGCGGACGCGCACGTTCGAGCAACGTTTGTACCTGATCCTGGCTAGAACAGACTGAACACAAACAACTGTCGAGCTTACAGGCCGTTCACGACGTACCCATTTTCGTAAAATTATCAACATTACATTCCAACTGCCTGCATGAAGCGGAACTTCGGGGAGCACGAGTAGAACGCCGTTGTTGCAGAATACGACGCAAGTACAACGAAAGGGAGACTCTCATCCGCGAAAAGACCGCAGTGCCGCATGTGTGACGGAAAAAAATACTCATAGAATACTTCAATAGCCGAAATTCTAGGGAATCGTCGAGTGATGATTTGGTGAATGGGATGTAGTTGTCTACGTTCCATTCACTACTTCATCACTCGGTTTCGACCACACTGCTCTTACCACAATGGTATTACGTAGCTTACTCAGAACCAAATCTGCAATAATCTAAAGAAAACAGTTGCAAGTTTAAAGTCCTTTACGCGCTTCTTTGCAAGTTCAAAATGTCTCTTCGTGCTGCTTTGAGTTTACTTTCCTATGCAAAGATAACTCATCCTAGTAGAAATGCATGCAAAGAATTTACAAATAATTCGGAAGCTGCGGTAGTACTTGAATTCAAGGGGGAGGAGGATTGATATCGCTGTTATACTACTAAACTCATTCCACCCAGCACCACTTGCTCACACGCTAGTTAGCGATGGCGCCTCCTTGCTGATAATGGTTGCTTATGGCACTCTTCTACAGCAGTCGTTTGCTTTTCCATACACGTACCACCTAAATCTACACATGGCTGCGAAGAGCGCGCCCCATGACCCACTGCCGAATTCGCCGGCTGGCATGGTGTCGCGCTGGAGCAGCTTAAGCATCGTGCGACATGTAATTCTTCGCACGTAGGGAACAATTGCCTTACAGAAGGAAGCATATTTGCTCAGTTAGCGCACATAGCTCGTTTGAACGAACTTAAATTATTTGGGGGGGGGGGGGAGAAGAGGGGGGGGGAACGCGTCTTCTGTGCTGGCTTTTCTCATAATAAGAGTTTGTGAGAATCAACAGTGGCCTTGATATGTCTCCATGTCAATTTCCTGTTTACCTCGTAAATCAGAGAAGATACTTTAGCTGTTGTAATCAGCAAAGTAGTTTTTCTCCTTTTGAGTACAACATTGCCACAACTTGTATGTAGCCTTAGTTTATATTATAAACACCACCCACCAGCACACGTTTTGATAGATTTACGTGCAATGCCATTGTAGAGGCTCCGATGCCGCGGATCTTGGCCAGCTTGAAGGAGCAAAATCCTGCTCTTGTTCCCTTGTAGACTCGAAGAAATTCAATAACAATAGAGCAGAAAAGCAAATGTATAGTTAAATCATTAAGGAAGCATGACATAGCTTACACGATTAGTGTTGCGAAATTCCCCAGCATCAGCACAGATTTTTTTACTGAGTGGGATGTCAACGATCCCTAGATACTCGTTCAGCCTCTGCCCCCTTCTAAACTGCTCCTCTTGAAGGATTGTTTTAGAATTAGAAATATTCAAAAAAGACGAAAGGGCAAAAACGAGTTCAATGCGGAAATCACAACAGCGAAGGACTATTGAGAAAATCAATGATAGTTTCTCTATTCGAAGGAATTTTAGGCCTTCTAAATTTTAAAGGACTTATGCTCAGGTGATAGTGGTAGGACCGCCATACTACCGAGTATCTATCGAATTGATTTCTCAATTCTCTCGTACACTACAAGCTATTGCATTTCTATAGACAATGATATACTGACAATACGTGATAACTAGAGGACTCTTATCTGATGCTTCACACAAAGAGAAAAGATTGTATCTTGTATACAGGGTGTCCCGAAAATATTCACACGTTTTTGTTCGTCGATAACTCTCTCGCTTTGAAGTCTTCCGCCAAACTTTGGGCACCATCCTGTGAGGCTGACTTCAGCCACAATGTAGAAATTGCCTCTGCATTTTCTTTTGATTCCGCGCAAAAAAAAAACGCGCTTAGTGTTTTACTGTGTACCAGTGCGTCACCTCTGCTTCGCAGAGACTCGCACTGGTCCCGCTATCTGTATGCCTTACTTATTTCCGCAAAAATGACATTGAAACTCACCGCGCTATGCAGACTATCATGAATGATTCGTAAACAATTATTCATTTCTAAAATTTTTCATGTGAGATCGGTAATTTCCCATGAATGAAACTTTTCCCACAAAAATAAATGCAAATTTATATCAGTTTTTGGATTTTTCATAGCTTGGTAGTTGCCTTGAGGACAGTGATCACCGTGGGCCACATCTCTGTGCAAAAATTTTCACAAATGATCAGGTACACTCTTGGCAAATTAAAGTTTACGCAATCGTTCTTTTTGGCGCAATCTTCGTAAAGTAATGAATTTTTGTTCACTTTTTTGGGCTAAAGTCCATGGCTTGCACATTAGCTTGTTAAACGTACTTATGACTTTGCAAAAAGTGCTGCTACATGCACAGTTTTGCCGGCCAGAAGTTAAGTGGATCCGTTTGAAACGCAATTTGTGAGGGATCCATTCAACGGATTCGCTCGTGCTTTTGCACAGCGGACTTTCATGCAGGTAGCGTACGTTGTGCAAAATTTGGGCTCAGGACATTCGCTGAAACACGCTTTACGAATTTCGTAACGGACAGACACACACACACAGACAAAAAGACGTAAACAACGCTTAGCCTGTTATTACAAGTCATGATACTCCGTATAGAAGTATTAAACTGCTGCAATTTTCTTGCTTAAGGGCCGGTCATACCAATCAGCGATCCATCGCGTCGCTGACTTTCCCAAAGGACAAGTGTTACAAAGCCGGAGATAACTGCGCATCTGTGCTAGCTGTCCGCCGCGATGCATCGAGGGCCGTTTTCTACCCGGCCATACCGATTTGAGCGAAATCGCCGCGATTGTCGCTCATCCCAGCGAATTCGCGTCGCTCATTTCAAATGCGCGACGCGATGGATCGCTAGGATTGGGATCTCTTTCCAGAAAAGTTTTATGATTGTTCTTTACTTTCTTAAGCTGGTCTCGTGTCTGGGGATTGGAAACCATTTTAGTTTTGTCAAAGTGCATTGGTTTTCCGTGAAATGCAAGCCTTTTGATTTATCAGCAATTGTCACTCACGCTAAATGCCTTGCACACTTCCCAAATTTGCCAGCTATCTGGTTTTCAACTGATGTTTGTTTCGTGGGTACGACTCTACTATTAACCATTATAACGTTTCTTTGTGCTCTTTATTACCTCAGTATCCTCATCACATCATGACTTTTGTTTGTCAACTCTCAGGAGCTAGTACCTGTGCAACTCCGATGTGGAATCCGTTGTAAAAATCTATATACAACTACACAGTATTGTGCCAAATAGAGAATGCTACTTTCTGCCTTTTAGCTATTTATCATGAGTAGATCATCTGCATATTTTTAATTGTGTTTTGCCCCTATGATATGTCGTCTGTTTATTGAATCTAGTTTCTTCATTCTATAACTAGTATATGTTATTTTTCAGGTGATTCCAGTCACCAATTATACACTATTGAACTTATAGTCCGATTTAGGCGCTATTTCGTAGTGAAGAAGTTCTAGGATTTGTAAGGTAGGGCTTTGCAACAATATTCAAAACAGCCTTGGCGAGTTTGCTAATTTAAGTACCAGAAAATTTCAAAATTGTTCAAAATGTCAAATCTCAAAATCTCAAGTTGGCACTCATCTCTTTCCAGATGAAAGGAAATTTTGAAGAGGTTTCTTTGTCGTTAAACGACCATGAAAAACACTTTTTGATCGATTTGGTCGAAAAAAGGCCAGCTCTGTGGAATGAGCTAGAGTCAAATTACAAGAACCTGCATGTCGATCTATGGCTTGGAGGCTTGTGTGCGAAGAGATGTCGGAAAAGTTTGGACGACAGTATGATAGTAAGATGAAGTTCCTAATATATTAGCTGCTATGTGTGCTATGTGTTCCCTTCAGGCAAGCTAGTTCAGAAATGTTTCAAATATTTGAGAGACCAGTGCGTCACCTCTGCTTCGCAGAGGCTCGCACTGGCTCTGCTATCTAGGCCCTACTCATTCTCGTATAATGATGGCATTGGAACTCACCAAGCAATGCCGACTATCACGAACAAAATGTAAACAACTACTCATTCCGAAAGCTTTTGTACGGGAAATCGGTGATTTCGCGTGGATGAGACTTTTTGCAGGAAAACAAATGCAAATTTTTATCGGTTCTTGATTTTCTCATGGCCTTTACAGTTGCAATAAGAACAGCAGTCACCGTGAGCTACAACTTTGTGCAAAATTTTCGTCAAATGGTCTGGTAAAACCTTGGCAAATTGATCATTTACGCAACCAATACTTTTTGGCGCCGTTTTTGTAAAGTAATGGACTTTTGATCACTTTTTTGAGCCTAAGTTCATGGCTTGCACATTTACTTGGCACAAACATCCACGACTCTGAAAAAAATGGAATTACGGACCCAATTTTGCGGCCCAAACGCAAAGTGGATCCGTTTGACACGCAGTTTCTGAGGGATCCACTCAACGAATCTGCTCGTTCTTTTGCATGTTGGAGTTTCATGCGGGTAGCATGCACTGTGCAAAATTTGAGCCCAGGAGGTTGGCTGGAACACGCTCTACGAATTTCGTAACAGACACACTCTCACACACACACACACACACACACAAAGTCACGTAAACATCCTTAGCCCGTTATTATAAGTAATGATACTTACAGTCGAGTAGATCTGCTTAATATAGTGTCCCTGCAGACGCGACAACGCTGGGGCGTCAATAATTGCCTGACGAGTTCGAGCTAGTGTTTTCCAGTGTTTTCTTTGCTTATTCTATGCTTTTTAGGTGATTCGTTGCTGATAAAGAAGAAAAGGGTAAGTTAGAGAGTAGTTTCTGTTTTCTGAGAAGTTTTATCATCGCATATTCACAGATATCCACGTGGAAGCAGTTCGCGTCAGCTTCTTGTCTATTTTTTTGTCACTTCATGTCTCTTTCTTCTTGTGAGGTACTTCTTTGAACGCTAGTGGGTTTTTACGATTGACTTATTGTCTTTATCTCATGAAGTACTTGATTAAAATGATATTTCTTATGGATGAAAGCCGAAGTTGCTGTAAGACAAGCCAACTAGCGCTCAAAGAAACGCCTCACAAGATGGAGGAGGTTTGAAAGAAGAAGAAGTAACAGAAGAAAAGGAAATGACAAAAAATTATAGACAAGAAGCTGACTCGAAATGCTTCCACGGGGATATCTGTGAATATGCGATGATAGAACTTATCAGAAAACAGAAACTACTCCTTAACTTACCCTTTTCCTCTTTATCAGCAACGAATCAACTAAAAAGCATGAAATAAGCAAAGAAAACACTGGAAAACACTAGCTCGGGAACTCGCAAGGCATTAATCGACGCCCCAGCGTTGTCGCGTCTGCAAGGACACTATATTAAGCAGGAAATCTACTCGACTATACGTCCGTAAAAGGAGGGAATATGAAGATGTCATTCGAAAAAGCACAGGTCTCGAGTCTGGCATACTTGAAAAAATCACATCTTGGCCGTTCTTCGCAAACCTACGTTTCATCGATCCACCAGATGACGATGAAGGGTTCGTTACCATACAAAATTTGAAAAAATCCGTCCTTTGTGTTTTAGCATACGTTATTGTAATGTGGAGTCTGAAGAAATCGTTGAAGTGGTAGAAGAGCTGGACAGTATTGAACCGGTTGGTATCCTATCAATTATAAGTTCCACTGAAAACTTGATTGTACAGAAGATAAAGTTTGTACAGAAGCGCGAATGTGCCATCGCCATCTCGAAACCGAAAACCGCCCTGGTGCCTTCCAGCAAAAAGTTAGAGAAAAAGACTAAAGGAAAAGATAGTGAGTGTTTTTGTCAATATTGCAGCACTTGCGGTCGATTACTCTTTCAGCTGTGGACAAAATAACATCCGTTCTGGAGAATTTAGAAACGCCAGATAGTTTTGAAACAACTGGTGAGTTGTTGTTATTGTTGTTGTTGTTGTTGTAATTATAGAAATTCTAAGTTTAGGGCAAGCACTGTCGGCCAAGCTCCGTGAAATTCATAGACTGGATAAACTCACTGCTGAGGACTATTGCATCATACTGGATGAGATACAGGTGCAGATGTCTCGTTCCATTTATGACCTCCAAAGGGCAAGAGCGGAATGACCTAGCGTAGGTTTTGTTCTTTTTATTGTTGAATCGGTGCTGTATTTATAGTTGTTCATGTCGTTTTCTCTAGACTAGCAATGTTGTGAGATTCTCTTCATCTTCAGGATTTTTCTGATCTCAAATAGGTGCCTTATTCATTGTTGCATCTCTAATAGGTGCCTTGATCTCTGTTGTTGCTGCTTAGCGGCCTTATCTGCATTCATCAACTTTGCTTTGGGTGTACTCATTCCGTGCCATTAGTGATATTTGTTTCTGTGTATTTCGTTGTTGTAATATGAAGATTTACTGTTGATCATAAAAACATGTGAATTAAAAATCTCATAAAATCTCAAACTTTATAATTTGGCATTCCAGATATACCGCCTTTGAAAATGCGCAGTCAATAAGATATTCCAGATCTCCCCTAACTTAGAGTATTACTTCTCCGAAAAGGACTTGCGATGAATAGAGTTGTTCTACAACTAAGTCAAATGATGGTAAACATGGTAAGTCTATCTAAACTGCTACTCGCATTCAAAGAAAGAGGGTTCTTGTTAAGGATATAACGACCGAAGCAATCAATGCATGCGTGAACGTGATCAAAAGGATTTCAAAAAGAAGAATTTGCCGATTGTGCCGGTGCGTAGTCAATTGTCATTTTCGAAGGGTTTCAACTTCTACGCACTTCATATCCTTGATTACTGTCATCGCATCGCACATGCTGCCTTCTAGGCTCGCACTAATCTTTCAGAGTGCCTCCATAACGCACCCCCATAGCCGGCGTTATCCGCCTACTGGCTCTTTTACGAATTTCGGCTGTGGGAGTTAAAAATAAAGCAAGGACTTTGCTCCTATTTTTGCTTATTGGTCATTGTTCATGAACATCATAATTTTTTTCGTATCTACCAAAGCCCCTAGGATACTGACAAGGAGAGGATACTTAGTCGAAAGCACCAATCCAGATGAGACATATATCATCTTATAGCGCTTGAAACGCTGATTCCAAATCTGCAGTTCCTAGCTGCGGAGCGGTTTTGTAAAGGGAGTTAAGTGTTTTCTCTGAGGTTGAGGCGCCCTCCACCAAGTCTCCCCCTACCTATGAGCACTGTAGAGGAGTTACCAACTGGTGGCAACTGACCTAGTGGTAAGTGACTAGAATAGTATAGAATTGTACTCAAAAACCGTCAACACGGAACCTTCCACTCGCCATTGATGATGATGAATGCTCATGCTGATTTTCTTATTGGAATATTTTAGAAAACGAAATTGTCCTCACATCATATCGCTGCTAACGCAGCTGATGATGTCAGCTGAACGAAAGAGGGAGAGGGCGACGTATATGAATAGGACGCATCTAACTCAAGCCCACAGTCGATTCTCCACTTTCGAAGGATATCTCATGGAGGAGGATGATAGTCGTTTCCACGAGTACACGAGATGTACTCGTGCTGAATTTAAAATGCTGTATGATCGCTTATGCGGTCGTTTGCAGCATGAACAAAGTTACCGTTATTCTATTCACATAAAACACAGGATAGCGATTTGCTTGAGGTAGGCACCTTTATGTGGGTGGGTGGGTGTAGGCTATAACGCTAATCCCAGATATCTTGGCCACGGACGCAGCCTTCACGCTTGCGCGCACGAGTTTAAGCTTGGCCGTTTAACAGTGGCAACCATTGTGTACGAAGTTTGCCAGGCAATAGTAGATGGTACTGCGTATAAGTATGCGTTAATTGTTACATAAAAATCCACTTAAGAGTTCGTATCGGAAGTGCTGCCAAATCCCACGGCTGAAACTTGGGCACGCGGTGCTCATGGTTTTCAGAGCATCTGGGGATATCCAAGGGGAGTGGAGCTAGAGACGGAAAACATTTTAGGTGCACGGTAGGCGTCAGATGTTATTCTAGAACATTCATCTGACCTAAAAAACCATCCAGGCTCTCAGCAACTCAGGGAGTAGCTACTTCAACTATAAAGGCCATTTCTCCATTGTGCTTTAGGTAGTAGCGGATTCAAACTACAAGATACTACTCCTTGATGTCGGAGGGAAAGGAAGGAACTCTGATTCTGGTATGTAGTAGGAGGTACCATAATCGGATTCGTTGCACGATGTTTAGGCCTGTAATGCACTTCCCCGATAAAACACTTCTTGGAAAAGTCAAAAGTTTTCTTTCCATGTCCAGCACCTTTAAAAGGTGCTGGAGTGGTGGAATATCACATACTAGCCGACGGCGGCTTCCCTCAATCAACGCACATGCAAAGGCCATACCAGCAGGCCGAAGCCCTACGTGACGCAAAAAAATTACACTTCAATGAATGTTTCAGCCGGTGCGTTGCAATAGTTTATGCACCTATGTCAAGTGTTGCCCCACAGAGCGAGAGAGACGGAGCGAGACGTGTTGTTGAAAATGTCTTCGGAATCATAACATCCAGAATTCGGCTGATCCAGGGACCCTTAACCGGATCAGTAGACTCCTTAAAACTTCTCGTTTACTCGGCGTGTGTAAGTCGCTAATGATTGTGATGCTTTCATTTACATTGCAGTATTTAGGTGTTACATAATCTTCTAGTCGGACGGATCAGTCAGGAAGAATTGTTAAAAAGATATCCACAAGTACACAATTTCTGATGAAAATGAAGCTTCGGGGACACGCTTTCACATTACCGCGGATGCACACAGGCAACGGGATCGGATAGCCGACTACTTTGCTCAGAGAGACGGATATCAGTGACAGTTTAGGTTTGTTAACTACGCTTGTATTAGCTATGTTGGTTGCGTCTTTGCAGAACTTGTCATTTCTTGGATTTTTCAAGATTATTTAGATTTGGATTCCAAGATTATGTGTTTTGCCTCTCTTATACTTTTCCGTATCATTTACTTACTGCTTCATCTGTCAAGGCAGATCAAGGTAGTATTTGCTCCTAAATATGTTTCTTCATTAACGTCTGTTTCTTCAAGGAGGCCCCTATGATGTATGCCACCGCCGTAAGCGAAGTTGTTCATCGTCGAACTTTCCAGAAAGAGTTTGCGCAATTGCGGCAAATTGCGGCGGTTTGCGGCAATACTCAAAAGTCACAGCCCCAGAAGACTTCTTTCGTTTGAGTGTCAGTCCGACTTTGGATGAGGGAGATGCTGAACCTATAACGTTGTATTTAAATGATGGAAGTGTCATGGAAAGCTTAGCGCCTGAAGAAGGTTCCTAAGACACTTATACAATACAAAAGTAGTAAGTGACTCGTGTGCTATCTCTTCTCATTATCATGGAATTTCCTATAATCTAGCGAATCTACGCGTTGGCATCCGCCCTTGTGTTATTATCCCGATGTAAATCAATAGATTACAATTCCTTGACAGATGATTCTATCTGGAAAGATGTAAGTAGTTCTTTCCTGTCTATGTGATTACATCTTCATTGTTCTATTATAGTTAAACTGTGTGTCCGCTGAAAAGTACAATTCTCCATCATTTGTAGAATACGCAACACTTCATGAAATCATCAACTATGTGTACACAGCACAATCATGGTTGCACTTAACCAAGATTCATTCACCATGACTTTATCGAATGAGGTGAACACAGCACCAGATGTCGTGAACGAAGAAGAGGAATCTTCGAAACTGAGCATCGAGCAGTAAGTTTTTTGCTTGTATGAATTACGTTAGGGATTCTCTAACAAAGTTTGATGTGCCAATGATTATCAGACGAAATGCGTCGTGGTGCCCTTTCTGTGCTTTCTTTTTCGAGTGGGAACACGACAATGTTGAGTTTTACATTTTAGTGGGTATGAATGTGGCCAAAATGTAAAGCTTTATACTCTCTTCTTAACCTTTTTGCACAACAACTACGTTCTTTTGCTTTCTTTCTTGTCAGAAGTTGAGTATCAGCATCAGAAACATGTATTCGCATCCTTTGTATTCATGATTATTCTAATACAGACCTCCCCTCGTCTTCGTGGTGTCATCTACAGGCACACAAGAGCAATTCATGATAAGGTGAGTGATGATAATGACACACATCCATCCCGCATCGCATACATATCACCGTGAGCGATCTGAATCTAACCAGCTAATTTTCAATTTTTATTCTTATTTCTATATTGCTTCAAATCATAAACGGCGTTTAAGACTATTGCCGATGTGATTCGCACAAGCCTTGGTCCTCGGGCATTGCTGAAAATGCTCATGGACCCTATGGGAGGAATTGTTATGACCAATGATGGAAATGCAATCCTCAGGGGGCCTTTCTGAATCTAGCATTTGCTGGATGGCAGTTTATGTTTAGAAAAAAAAAGTCATTTTATTTTAGGGAGATCACTGTGAAACACCCAGCAGCGAAAAGCATGATTGAAATTGCCAGAACTCAGGTTTGTGGCTTTTCCGAATGCTTGTAGACTCACATAGAATTTTTATCGTCACATATTTACAATCATCAAGCTAAGAAAGTTGTTAAGGACGAAGAGACTGGCGACCGCATCACGTCGGTAATTGTCCTAGACGGGGAGGATGACTCAAGCACAGCCGTTCCTTGAGCAGAAATTAGAAATTACATATCACCATCATCATCCAGGTGTGAAGTGATTGCTAGATGATTTTATGCGCAACCATTCCTTTAGGCTTACCGTGCTGGTTTGGAAGATATGGTAAAACTCGCTGAAGAAGTTCAGTAAGCCTGTTGACATCAACAAGAATGTAGCTACAGCGCTCGCATGTTGTTTGATCTTGGTTAATTGCTCTGCATACAGGTCACCACCGTTGTTAAATCTTGTCTTGGCACAAAAATGATTAGTAAGTGGATGGATCTCGCTGTGCAAATCTCACTCGATGCCATCAAAACTATCAAGGTAGACAAAGGAAACGCAAGCGAGATTGACATCAAGAGACTCCTCGGTCTTATTAGCAGGTCATTTTTGATTTATTTTCTGAGAATGATTGTGCAGTATGTGTAAAGCTCTTAAAAATCGTTGCTCTTTATGACGGTCCATCTGATGTTTCACATTATTGGGAGTTGTGTACTATTTTCCGAGAGCGTAGCGAAAACATCTTCCAAATGGAACTCACAGCGTTTTTTTTATCCTTGCATTCTCCCGTTACTCGGGGTCTGCCGCTCTTGTTAATATTCTCCATTCTTCTCGGTTCAAGGCCTGCTCTTCACTTATACCAAGCTCTCTCATATCTGCTTTGACTTTATCCAGCCATCTCATCTTAGGTCTTCCTCTTGGTCTCTTCCCTGGCACTTCCACTGACATGGCCAATCTCGTAATGTGGTTTTCTTCTCTTCGTCTCACATGTCCATACCACTGTAGACGTCTTTCTTGCATCTTCTTCACAATGGGTGTCACTTTCATTACGCTTCGTATAGTGTCATTCGGGACATGGTCTAGCATCGTCACTCCTGTGGTCCATCTCAGCATTCGTGTTTCCATTACACTGATCATTCTCTCTTCGTACGTGTACATGGCCAGCATTCGCTTCCGTATAGGGCCGTTGGTCGAACTATCGTGCGATATATCAGGGACTTCAGCTTTCTTGGCATCCGCTTATCACATAGGACTCCTGTGATACTTCTCCACTTCATCCACGCTGCATTCACTCTACTGCTTATCTCATCGCGGAGGTTGCCCTCTGCGGAGATACGGCTTCCCAGGTACTTGAAGGAGGTGGTCTTCTTAAGTTGCGTGCCTTCGATCTGGATTATCCCGGGTGTCTGTGTTCCCAGTTCGCTTCAGTTCATGCATCTCAAGCTGCTCCTTCCACTTCTGCACTTCCATCTGGAGCTCTCTTCTGCTTCTTGCCAGTAGGAGAACATCGTCTGCGTACATGAGCGTCCATGGTGGTTGTCGTATGAAGCCGTCGACTACTGCATCTATGACTGTGTTGAACAGGAGCGGTGAAAGTACAGAGCCTTGGTGTACGCCGGCAAGTATCTGGAATTCTTTCGTCGGTCCCGCTGCTGTCTGTACGTAGCTGGTAGCATTCTTGTAGATCATCTTCGTCCATTGCACGTATTCTTCTGGCACTTTATGCTTTCGTAGTGCCCACCATATGATGTCGTGTGGTACCTTGTCGAACGCCTTCTCCAAGTCGAGGAACGCCGCATGCAGTTCACATTGCTTCTCCCTGCATCTTTCTATCGTTATTTTGGCGGTATGGATGGCATCTGTCGTGCCTACCTTCACGAATCCATACTGATTGGGAGCTAGTTCTATGATGCTTCGGAGTTTCATTTCTAATATTCGTCCGAAGATCTTCAGCGTGTGACTCGTTAGACGTATGGGACGATAAGTTGAGCAATCGGCTATGTCCCCTTTCTTCTTCCATACTGGAATCGTTGTGCTTCTGGACCAGTCGTGCGGCATCTTCTTGAATTCGATTATTTGATTGAGAAGCTGTGTTAACCAGGTGATTCCAGCTTGTCCGCACCTCTTCCAGAATTCGCTGGGGATGTCGTCCGGGCCTGTTGCTTTGCCGTTCTTCGTCTTCGCTATGGCTACGCGAACTTCATCTTCTGTGATGTTTTCTACCGGTCCTTGTACCGTCTCAGCTACTATGGTAGATGACATTTGGTAGCTTGTAGATGCTATTCTCTCGAAGTGTGCTCTCCATCGTTCGCTTATCTTCTGTGGATTTCTTAGGATTCTTCCGTATTCGTCTTTGATATTGTAGAAGTAGCTTATATCTTCTGTGGCTTTTGCTTTTCTCCTTGTGATTCGGTAGATATCACGCTCGCCTTCTCGAGTGTACAACTTCTTGTAGAAGTCTGCTATGTACGCTTCCTTCGCATCTCTTACACTCTTCTTTGCTGCACGTGTTGTATCTACATATTTCTGCTGATCGTCTTCTAATCTTGTCTTCTGCCACAGCTGGTATGCAAGCTTTTTACTCTTGACCACAGTTTGAACATCCTCATTCCACCACCAAGTTTCTTTGTCAAGTCTTGGCTTTCCTGGTTTTGTAAGCCCCAGCAGGTTCCCTGCCATCTGATGGACGTTGTTCATCAGCTTCGTCCAGGACCGCTTCGGCTCGTCTTCTAGAAGTGGTGGAGCTGATTCCATAGCGTGCTATGCGAGTCCTCAAAAAGTACTCGATAAAGTGCATTAGCCTACTATCTGTCTGACATTACTAATTTCTGAGTTTGATGGCTTTTGCTGGAATATAGACCGAAATATTTACGAATTTGTACTCAATTGCATTTTCATGGGTTCACCTTCAAAGTTGCTGTTTTAAACGGATTCTAAGCTATCATATTGAACAACCCATGCAACTATCTGATACCACTCCTTCTGAAATTTGAATACTTTTAAAAAGTCAGTCAAACACTTATTATATGCTATTTGGTGTCCATCTGGCAATGAAAATCGCTCTTCTCGACATACACCCAATCCGTCGGATTGTAGATTTCATTAAAATATGATATGTGTTAGCGAGCAGGAAAAATGCTTTCTAATGGTACAAATAGTATCGCATTACAACTGAAATCTCCTAAAAGGGCTGCTTCATACATCAAAGGGCCGGTCATACCGGTCAGCGATCCATCGCCGCGATGGATGATCGTCGCGACTGGGTGGAAACTAGCGACGAAAACGCGCGACGGATCGCTGATCGCTCGAATTAGGGGGGCATACCACCGCGGCGATGTGTGCATTCTCACACTTCGTCTTCAGTCTTTGTTTGTTATCTACGCTTGTAACTTGGTTCCTTCTGCAAAATTTCCTATTTATATTTCTTTCGAGATTATGTCTGGCAAATCTGATATCTCCTCTGTCATGCTAATTCGAACACTCATTTGATTTTTACAAATCTTGATGACATCCTGCAGAAGTAGAAGGTTTTTGGATGGCTAGTGCGATGATTTGTGTGAAACATTCTCTGCCCGATTACCTTAATAACGAGTTAAGTGGTTTCCATTTATATTCGTGCCGAATAACACAATCCACAACCCTGTTACTTTCAGGTCTGTAAATTCTTTAGAATTTAACTTCCCTTTTTTTGCTAAATGCGAAGCTGTGGGATGGCACTCTACGGAAAACGTAAAAAGTGATTATATTAGCAAAGCTGCATCACGATGCTCAAACATCACGCGGCTTGAGTGTTTCAAACACAACGCGACAAGGGTAATATTGCGGCAATGGTACTCGTTTTGGCTTATTTACTTTTTATGCCAATCTAAAAAAGATTTTTTTAGAATGTTCTTCTGCACACGAAAGCCATCAAAGTGGGGACTTGCCATGACTGCGGATTTTTGTCTCTTTTGTCGTTTTTCAAAGCGTGGTGAAAAGTCATCGCAAGTGAGTACAATGATTCCCGAGTGTCTCAAGGAAGAGTACTAGAAGTTAAGCTAATCCTTCATCTTTTGTTTGACTTCTTTTGAAACGTTGTTTAAAATTACAGAACGTCTTTTATAACGCTTTCACTTATTCTCTTTTTCAATTCAAGATGTAAATAAGATATTTGCTATAAGATATATAATCCCCTTCTTTGCAAGTATATATTGTGTGCACTAAAAAAGATGTTTAGAGACACCTTAATTAATAACTCACCTTTGCAAGGAGCAGCGAAAATGTTGCTCAATGAAGCAGTTAGTGACAAGGATACCGCGCTCAGGCTTTTTTGATTTTGTCGTCGGTATTCTTTCTTTTTTCCTTTACTACGAAAAGGTTCACGATCCAGGAATGAATTTGTAGGATCTGGCTACGCTCATAACGAGTTAGATCCCGTGCAAGTATCTCCATGGGACGGAACGACGTTTTTTCAGCTGCAAACCCTGGATAAAATCATGAAATAGCAATAAACGACCAAAGAAAACCTTAACCGATTACCTTCCGGAATCGGGGAACTATCTCGGGGATTATGATGGGAATATTTTCTTGTTGCCAGAGCTGCTTCTTTCTTTAACGCGGCATCATATCGGGAACGAGCTAGCTTTGCTTCCCTTGCTGAAAGTGGTATGTGCGTAAAAGATTAACTAAAAAAGCAGAATACTATCTTGCGGTGAATGCGCAGGCGAAGAGGGTAACGTTGTGAACAGCTCCTGGAGCAGGATGACAGTCATTTCGAACAAAGGCCAGACGGCCAGGGAGGCCTGACGTAATTGAGACCGAAATTGCTGATACGGTGTAGTCCACTTTCAGGACCTGCATCGATCCTCGCAATCAGCTGACAGAGAATCACTCAAAACGAGAAGACATTGGACTAAAAACAAATATCTTATTTACATCTTTAATTGAAAAAGCGAATAAGTGAAAGCGTTATAAAAGACGTTCTGTAATTTTAAACAACGTTTCAAAAGAAGTCAAACAAAAGATGAAGGATTAGCTTACCTTCTAGTACTCTTCCTTGAGACACTCGGGAATCACAAAATACATTGTACTCACTTGCGATGACTTTTCACCACGCTTTGAATTTTTACAAAAATCCGCAGTCATGGCCAGGGCCCGGCAGGAGGTGGCATTTCAGAATTTTGAGAACGATATCCCCTTTGAAGCCAAAATTTCTTACGACTTCCACTTTGACCCTATTTTTGACCCCCGTA